TTGCCATGTTTCAGAAATTCTGAAGCACAATTGAATGCACCCAGTCACAGTGACCCAGTGGGGACACGGATCCAACCAGGGTTGAGATGCAAAACAGAAAGCAGGTATTTTATTAAGAGTGAAAACTTAATCACACACCCAGGAAATCATTTTTAAATCTTTTTGAGAATTTCATATGGTCTAATTCGCTTCACTGTGAATAAACTAACAATACTGCAGTAATTATCTCCGTATTAGATGGTTGCTACCTGGCACCCTACTGTTCCTGGCTAGGGTAAGCAGAGGTGGGCCAGCTCCTCAGAGGAGTCATGGTGGTCCTGTGGCACAGGGGGCAGTGATTGTCCCCCCCCGAGCCACCCAGGCCTGGCGGGGTGACCCTGGGGAGTGCTGGATTTTCCCCACCACCACCTATGTGCACCTTGGCTACCTGCTCAGAAAACAACAGACCTTTCCAAGCTGAGAGTAGATTTAAAGCCAAATTACTAATGCTTATTAATCTCTTACCTAGTAATTATCTAAATATGTTGATTCACATAGTAATGAGTTAGCTGTTCAGCTTATTTTGATCCGTTATGTAAAAAATGTGCTTGGGCTGAAAGTGAAATCCTGCCCCAAGACTAAGGGGCAGGATTCGGTCTCTTCTCCCAAGTCACAGGCTATTAATAGGACAAGAGGAAACGGCCTCAAGTTGTGCCAGGGGAGGTTCAGATTGGATATTAGGAAAAATATTTACACTGAAAGGGTTACTGAGCATTGGAGTGGGCTGCCCAAGGTAGTGGTTGAGGCACCATCCCTGGAGGTATTCAAAAGACAGGTTGACATAGTGGTTAGAGACATGGTTTAGTGATGATTTTTATCAGTTAGGTTGATGGTTGGACTAGATAATCTTAAAGGTCCCTTCCAACTGAGACAATTCTATAATTCTATTATTTCCACTGACTTCAGTGGGAAGGGGGTTTCAGCGTGTCTGTTACTGTGGAAGGACAAGCTTTCCAGAGCCACTTGGTGGCAACTGATGCAGTTAAAGTATCTCTGCAGTGGAGTTGTACATACTTCATGGCAAATTCCTGTGACAGCTGAAGCGTTCTAGTAGCATCCGAACAAGAATGAAGTTCCTTCCATTTGCATCCTCCAGATACTTGTATACTCGTTATTTTAGACTGTATTTATTTACTCGTTAGTTATTCTCATGCATAGTCATAGAATAATAGATTGGTTAGAGTTGGAAGGGATCATCGAGTTCCAACCCCTTTCCCTGGGCAGGGACACCTCCCACCAGACCAGGTTGCTCCAAGCCCCCTCCAGCCTGGCCTTGAACCCCTCCAGGGATGGGGCAGCCACAGCTTCTCTGGGCAACCTGGGCCAGGCTCTCACCACCCTTACACCAAAGAAGTTCTTCCTCATCTCATCTAAATTTCCATTACCCCTTGTCCTGTCATAATGCTCTGTTTTAATCACCTTTAGTTTTTTGCCACTGGTCTGATGAGGTTTGACCTACCCCTTTCACCTGGGAAAGCACCAGAAATGCCTTACGTGACCCGGTGCTGGGGGGTTGTGTTGGGGGGGGACATCCCCAGTGTCCCTGTCTGGCAGGAGTGGGATGGTGTGGCACAGGGGACAGCGGTGACACTGTTCTCATCGCTGCGGGACCAAGCGGAGATCAGTGGGATGTGCTGGCTTTGGGCATTTGCAGGGTGGTGGCAGCTCCTGTCCCCCCACAGCACCCACGTTTAAACTGTAGCAGGAAAGAGGAAATACACTGCGTTTGCTCAAACCATGAATAACTGAGAAAAATTTGCTTTCTTGTGTGTGTCTGATGGTTTCTGCAGCTGCACGTCACCGACTTTGTGCTCCACGGAACTGGGGCAGTACGTGCCAGCTGAGGGAGGATGGGATGGTGTGACATCAGGCTCTAAGAACAGCTTCAGCCTTACTATTTTTTTGTAAAACAAGCCTCGAGGAAAGTCTTTGACCGCACTTGTTTTGGCACGAGCTACACTTCAGTCTCACGCACCACGTCATGGCTTAAATCGGGCAGAAAGTTAATTGTGAGTATAGCTCTGACCTTGCACAAATGTCTTGGTAGGAGTCGGGAAGTTCCAACCACACGTATCTCTTACCTTCCTTATCCCTGTTGGTTTTTGGGAGCTACTGCAGGAGAAGCCACTTGCACATCAGTGACTCCAGATGGTTCACGTGCAACAGCATCTTGGGAGCACTGAGACCAGGGGTATCTCCATGGTTAATGCAGTAATGGGTGTGTAATACATAAGGTGAGGGAGCATTCAACTCCCTCGCGGAACTGGGACCCGCAATCACATGGTTGGGGCCTTCCCTCTGTTTTTATGCTGTGCTGGGTTTAACTCATCAGTTTAACACCATTTATAGAGGAGAGTTTTAATGTCGAACAAAGGTTTCTTGTATTAACATTCTCCTATTTCAGAAAAGACCTTTTCAGTCACCAAAAAGACAGCCCTTAGTGGCATTATATGACTTGTAATAGCTTTATTTTGAAGAACTCTTTAATACAACAGGCTGAAATAGAGCGGTGTCTTATTTTCTGCTGCGTAAACGCCCTCTTTGCTGTTGTGGTTTTAAATTTCTGAAGCAAACTAGTATAAAAATCAAATTCCATTAAGACCATCTACGCAAGAAGAACAAATCTGATTTCTTGTGTTGCAACCATACCTTCATTGGTACTTCCAGTAGCTTCTCTCGTGACTCATCTCTACAGAACAATATCATTAAATACACAACTAAGCTTGTTGGGTAGAATCTGCTTTCCTGACTAAATCCAACTATCTTCTGCCAGACTCCTTGAAGCTCAGCAGAGGTCTGAAGGCCACACCATGCACTGATGCCTCTACAATTGGAGGTCTTTAATTCTCTTTTGGGAGTCTCAGCTGAAACCACCAATATTCAGGTGGACTTGCCTGTTTTGAGCAGTGTATCTGAGACTTTCTCGTGTTTTGGGGTTTTTTTCTCTCTCTCCTTGCGTATATCAGGTATTTTATGGTTTACTCAGTAAATCTAAAAGATGACCCACCCATCTGCATCTGCTACCAGGTCCAGCCTACTGGTTACCACCAAAGACAGCAAGGATGAGATGGCATTTCAAATGATCACAGTATTGGAGCTGGCAATGAAGGACTCTAAATCTAACATGGAAATTCTAGGTGCTAACACCTCTCTATTTACATTCGATAGCTAAAGGTTAATTTCCTGAAAGGCTGGAGAGAGGCTGGGGACAGAAGCACAAAGTAAAAGTAATGGTTGAGAATTTAACTCCCTTTCTCACCCTGAGGAAGGCCAGCAGAGAACAGCCTTTCGAGGGAGGGTGACCCTCTGATCACGTACCTGTGGGGGTGGTGGGGCTCCAGGAGCTCTTTTATCTTCTACATAGCACAAAGTGCAGAAAATAACACAGCACTCCTTGCCTGCCACGATCCTCTTCACGCAAGGCAGCAGAGAGGGGGGAGAACTATCACTGCAGAAAGTTCACATGGAGCAAATGTGGCACGAGTGCCCGGAGTCCCCTCTGGCAGCGTAAGAATTTATAAGGTCTGCGTTTCACACCACCAGGAAGATTTCAGAGCACACCTTCCAGAACAGAAATAATTCTCCTGGGATGTGGCCCTGCACCAATGCTGGAGTCTATTTTTGGAGCTCTCCTGGACGGTTTCCAAGACCACCATGACACAATCACTTCGAGATGGGTGGTAAACGTGTCTCTACTCTTACTTAGACTGCGCTGTTTTATGCGTGTTCTTTAACCGCTCGCTCTTTATTGGAAGGATCCTCGCCATGTTGTCATCTCATCCTTGGACCCCTCTCTGAATACACAGGTGGAAAAAAGCAAACAAAGGCTGTACTTTGCTGAGCAGGTGTCATTTACCAGGTGGAGCCCCCAGATGAGTCAAGGTGAGAAAGAATCTGACGAGACAAGACTGCTAAACCACCATGTCAGTCCTCTCTAGTTTGAGCCTTATCTCCTAATCAAGCTGCTTCCAATTACAAGGCAATAAATGCCTGTAGCTCTCACTGGTGAGGCTGAATCAGTAGCAGAAAGGTGGGGGTCAGGGGTCAGCACCCTGAGATAAAGGCAAGAACTAATTAACTACTGAAAAATTAGCTGAGCAGATCTGCCCTGCTCTAAGAAGACACGATCAGGCCACTAATGGCAGCACCGACACCGCAGCAGCTCTGCAGAATCTGCTTATCGCAGCACACAGAGAGCAAGTGGACACATTAATCCCTAAATTCAGGTACTTTTCCTAAGAAAAACTCAGGACTCTGTGAAAAGGGGCTGTTTTTAACACTTAAAAAAAATATGTCTCTGATAATAACATTGAAATCTATGTAACTTCAGAGACTAAGTAATTAAAAACTTTATCTACTTGTCTTCTGAATTATACTCTTAAAGAAACCCAACAGCACCGAGAGCCAATATCAAGTGTTACAGCAACAGGGGGGCAGAAATAGGCACATCGAGTCTAAAAACTTGCATATTACTCCAGATTTAACACAAACCAGCTACTCATTTTCATCTAGGTCCCAAGTTCTATTCCTTTCTCTCACAAAAGAGGCTTTGCAAATGTGGCAGGTATGGTGGAGGTACCACAGGTGGAGTGGCTAGCACAGATTTAAGTCTTTTATAAGCATACTCCTTCTAAAATATTAAGTATATTAAAGCTTTTATGTTGTTTTGTACTGCTAAAATCGGATTTATTGGTATCTGTTTCTCTGCCTCAATCTTATCTGTTGATACCTCACCAGCTGCACTAATGCAGAACTCAAGGTGCAGTTAATAATGAGTGGAGCCCACCCTCCCGAAGTCCAGATTTATGTCCAGAAATTTAAACTTGTGCTGAGAAACCAGCTCTGGAGTAAGCGGAGCTCCTGGGCACATTCATCAGCCATGTGGGAAATAAAGCTTCCACATTTCCACATCCCCCCCCCCAGTGAAGTCTTGTACAAAAGCTCTTTAAGAAAAGTCAGAGTTAATGTTAGAGTAAGTCTGAGTTAACACTAGAATAATTGGTTAACACTAATTCTAGTTAACACTATAATTTTTAGAATGTGGCCTTGACTTTATTTCAGTAACGTGGGCACTGTTCTCCTGCAAAATTCACTTCCTTATTTTGGAGAAAGAGTCCGTTCACTGGAAGAACTGCACACAATACTGTATTTATTAACTAAATCAAATGTGTACACTTAAATACATACAGGATGTTCAACATAAGCATACTTACTTAACATGTTCATCATATCTATTATTCTGTCTTGACGTCAAAATTTTTAATAGCGCCTGCTGTAAGGAAACACATTAATGCTAAAACAGAAGATGCTCAGCAGTTAAAATAAAGTCTCCATATTGCATAGTGTCAGGTGTCCGCGTGGAGCCCTACCACAACTATTGCTGTAGCGCAGTGTAATTACATAAAACAATTATGGACTACTCTTTAACATACAATTCCATAAGAGACAGAAGTGCAATCATTCGTTTTACCTGACTGAAAACTTCCCTCCTGCAAGACTGAGAATAATCCATGATGGAGAGCCTGGTGTATTGGGAGTGCCTGTACCTGTTGAGAAACCACCAGCTTCCAGGTGAGCTGAAGCCGATCCTTCTGGGGAAGGAAAACTTTTTTATTTTTTCCACTTAAAATGCACAGAGCTAAAGGAAGGTGTATTTTAGCTACCTGTTTGAGTATTAGTACCCCAACTGAACATTAAGAAGTGTGTACCATCTCCATCCTTGTCACAGGGAACTCAATCTTACTCTCGAAGGAGCTGCCCTCCAAACACAACCTCTCACCAATGTGGCACACAGGCCTCAAATGCAGCGTTTCACCACGCTCAATTCCAGCTACACTCCAGTTTGGTACCGAGTCTCCCAATACACCCATTTCATTAAGCCTCAGTTATGTTTACAAACAGCTTGTCATTTCTCTTCAGGTACCAAAGCTGCAGAGGATGGAGCCCAAATGGTCCCGGTGTTATAATAAAGCCCTAAGAAAGGCAGCAGGTTGTATAGTTACCTCCTTGCGAGCAAAATCCCTGCCCTAAAACTATGCAACCTACTACCTCTTCCTAGGAGCCCAGCGCTTCCTCTGTGCCGCTCTTCTCGCCCAGCAGCTGCTCTGCGAAGTCACTTTAGTTTATCAGCTGCTTTTGGTCTTCTTTAGGCCTGGGAACACTGCAAGCACAGGCTGTTACCCCTGCCTGGTTAGTGGGGAACCAGTTCTAATGCTCCGGGTTCAAATACTGACGGCTCCACTTTCACTCTCGCCTACTACACTAAACTTTCACTCCCATAAAGTATTTTCATGCTTTTCTTTATTACTACAGCAAGATGGTCACACTGGTGTAGAAGCAGTTAGATGGGGTACTCCTAGGACACCAGGAGTAAATAGAACATAATAAGCTAACCTAGGCAATTATATGATTCTAAGCTTAAAAAATATCTTTTTATGTAAAAACAGTAACCAGTGAAGAGGAAGAATTACACTTCTGGATCTTGGGTGCTCAAACTTCATAGCTTTATACTTCCCCCAAAAAGGTGAGGGGTCAGTTTTGGCCATTCAACTTTAATTTTGTATTAGGTTGTTTAAGTCTCACTTCAGAGAAGAACTAAAGACAAATAAGCAGATTTATTAGTAAAACGTAATTGTAAGTTGTTCCTCCAACTTTTACTAAGTGGTTAGAGTGATAGAATTTTAATGCATTATAGAAATTGTTAGGTCACAATGTGTAAGTTTGAGCTACCTGTATTTTTACATTCAAACCCAAATTCTTTTATAATTATTTTTTTTCTCTCGGGGGTATTCCACACTAAATCTAGGAACACATGCCTTCTCCTTATCCCGTCAGCACTCTGCTGCTCACCTTGAAAGAAAAGTCGCATTAGTCAAATATATCATTTGGGGGTTGCACCATTCACACCGATTTGAATCCTGCAAATTCTGTCACTGATTAATCTGATGCTTTAGAGCCCTGAATTTCTCTGGCAGATCTGTTTTTACTCAATGGGGACAGGAATGACTGCAAAGGACCGCGGTTTGTTTTACTCCTCAGGGAAGGCAATAGATTGTATAGTTATCTCCTGAACAGGGTAAAATAACTACCCTACAACTATACAATCTACTACCTCACTCTGACAGAGAAGCACATACTGCAGCAAAGAGCTTAAGGAGCTGACCAGAGTTTTATTCTAAAGAGTATTCGATACTTAGGGTAGCAACGTTAAACACCACAACAATTAGAGCAATCTTTTGTACTTGATTACCCCACCATACACATACAGGAATCAGTCTGTTCTTAATTTTTCACTTGTTAAAGGAGAAAAATGAATGTAGAATGAATGTAGAATCTAGCTTTCCCAAGAATTAGAAAAATCTAAACACAATATATAGATCAAGACAAATTATTTTCCCCGTAAGCATTACAAGTACAAAAGTTCAGTAGAATCTGACGTTGAGCTTAACAGCGAGACGTTTCCATTGATGATTTTCTGCTGCTTTAGGAAAGACAGTAGATTGTATAGTTATCTCCCAGTTGTGGGTATGACCCTAAAACTATACAACCTACTACCTCATCCCACAGCGCAGGTGTCTTCGTGGCTGCTGGGGAAAGGGTGGCCTCGGCAAAGACAAGTCAGGCTGCTGCTGCAGCATCTACAGATAAAATACTGATCACAGGAAAACCATTCCTCTTACTCCTCCCAGTCATGCAATAAAGTTATTTTAAAGGTAAGATTCCTTAATTTCAAAATTTTACCAGTTTCATCTTTAGAGAGTTAGCAAGTAGCAGTCGTAGCAAGCAGTCACAGTCATTAAACTTCTCTGTTAAAGTACTATTTGTGTTTCACAGATGTAAACTCTCATCTGAAATTAGAAAAAAAACTCCATCAGCAACATCAGATCTAAATTTCTTCCTCTTTAGAACTTAAAAATAATAAAACCTAGGACCACAGCTATACAGACAATTTACACGGCTCAGTATGAGGCCCTAATATTTATAATTCTGATGAAATAAATGTTATTATTATATATAGCAATTTTTTCAGCTATCATAACAGTTAATCGCTCGAAATCATGTGCCATCAGTAGTACTTTGTGCTTCTTCTGTTAGTCTTAAAAACATAAAGTCCCATGCACAGGGATTCTTTTATTATAAACAAAACTCATTAAGATTACAGCTTATACCCTCACATTTAATTGTTAAACTGCCTTACCAAAAGGCCACTTAAATTATACATTGGTTTCAGATCAGAAAAACAAGTGAGTTTCTGTAACTGCTCCTGTTGTAACTTTAAAGCCAATTTCCTCATTGATACAGCTCAACATGATCTTGAAATAAAAAAGTCTTAGAATATTGAAATCAAAATACTTGCCAGACAGATGTGACTTACAGTCCCCTTCTCAGCAAGGACACCTGGAGAACAGAGCTGGAGAGGAAGACACATTGCTTTGTCAATGTAATTTAGAGGAGAGTGAAAAATGTTTACAGAAATGCAGTTTTTAAACAATTAAATACATGTTTTACTAGTACTCCGTCCCAATTCTAAGCTGAGGTTTTCAGCCCATTCTTCAAACAAAGCCTTGATAGAATGAGAGCGCCCTAATGCATGTTAATGTCCTTGCCAAAAAACACAACGCGTGATCCAATGAATTAATATACAAAGGGATGACGTGATTCCTTGAACAGAGAAAAAATAAAAGTTCTTTCCAACCCCCTCAACCCTTTACTCCAGAACCCTTTATACAAATATTGATGACAAATTTTGGTGAATCACTCTTAAAAATCTTGCTCCTGACTGGTATAAATCCCATTATTTGCTTTTGCTAACTTACACGCCTACTAGAACACATACTTTAGCGTGCACAGATGGACACGAGCAGTTGGTCCTAATGCCCAAACCAGAAATAAATCAGACCAGTAGCACTGGGACAAAGTCAGACCATTACGAAGCGCTGGCACGCACCACGTCCTTTGGAACCAGCTCAGCAGAGACCCTGCTGTCAAGCAGATATTCTGTAGGGGAGCTGACAGCCCTTTCAGTTCCCTGTTCCTGCATCCAAACCTCCAGCAGCTGAACAGAATTCATCTAAAAAACCCATTTCTCAAGGAAAAAAGGCAGCCTGCTGAGGCCTGGCCAGCGAGGCTACCTGCAGAGAGCCAGCTCAGTGTCTTTGCTTTGTTACTCTGTGATGCCGTGAAGTTACAAAAGTCCCAGATGTTTAGTTTCAGAAGCAACTTTTAAGCTGAAACTGATGGTTCCCTGTACTGAAAATATTTTAAGGACTTTGAAAAACTGAAGAGGTGTCACCACACAAAAATCTTAAGTCTAAAACATGTAAGACAACACTTCTGACTTTCCTTTTTTAAAATTAAGCCTGAAGGACACAAGGATTGCAACAAAGCTAGAAACCCATCTGTTGCATTTCACCACCTTCAGGCACAAGTTAGGTTTATAAACCTAACCAACTTGAGAAGACACATCAATCAACTTCTATTTCCATTGACAATAGGACTTCTCAATCAAGTTCTCTTATCAGAAATTCTAAATAATTTTCTACTTCCACCACCAGATATTCCTGTTAAGTACTTGGCAGCTCCTCAATCCTTAAGAATCTGTCACCTTTCAGCTTCCTGGGCCGGGGGGGGGTGGGGGGAAGTGCCTCACATCTAATAGAGGTCTGGATGGGCTGTTACTTAAGGTTAAAGAAGTCCTTGAAAAAAATATTCTTACTTACTTCCAATTGTTATCCTGTGTTTATACACAGCAGTCTGGCTTGAGATCATAAAGTGCACACAGGACATTAGGAAAACCTCACTCTGTAACAAATGCACCTTATGAAAGTTCATCAGGTGGGCTGTCTTCTACCTATCACAAAAAAAAAAGCAATTTTATTGATGTTACATCAGTCAGGCATTATTTTTTACTCATTTTAATACTAGAAGGGTATAGAATTAAAAGAATTAAAATTGTAGTCAAAACCTTCTTTTGGAAGTTCAGGTTACCTTTTGGTTTTTTGTTTTTCCTGCATATTCTTGCAAGGTCTAGTGAATCAGTGCTCTGCTTTGTACGAATCCTGCAGTTTTGGGGGTTTCTAACCTATGGGTTAGTTCTCTTGGTTTTTAGAAACCCTATCACTCAGGTTGCGATGTCCTTTTACAGAATGGGATGTGCCAGGTCTCCATGGAGGCTGCTTCTCTGATCTCATTAAGGTTTTTCTGGCACGCAGAGAGGCCCGATGTACAGCACGTTTGATAAATTGTGCTCCTGGCACAGCCTCTACTGATGTGGTATGTGCTCATTGGCAAGAGAATCTGCTATTGCCCCCAGCCCTGCCGCTGAGGTCACCATGCTGATGATCTCACACCTTAGGAGAGCACAGGAGTTTCAGGGCCATCCACCTGCACAGTCTCTCCTTCAGCAACAAACTTGACCACGGAGACTTAAAGTTTTTAAGAAACACATGGTTAATTTACTTGTTAAAAGCTGAGCTCAATGTGGTATTTCTCCAGTCACCACACGCTTGTATTCTGAAGTCCCCAAAGCAGGGAAAATGGAGAAAATGCCAGTAATTGTGTAAGTGTATAACTTTGACACAGCAGCGGCTGCATCCAGGGCTGAGGCTCCAGCCTGATCACACACAGCTCTCACCACGCGGGGGAGCTCCGGGATTTAGGATGCCACCACTAACACCAATTCCTCACAGTTTTATCCCATTTGGAGCTAGTTCCAGACTCCCCGGGCTCTTTTGGGGCCGCCTTCTCCAACCACCGACCCACACATCCAGCATCCCCACTGACCACACGCAGATCTACAAACTCAGGTCTGCACCTTCACCGGGTTCTTTTTGTTTGACTAGTGGGGACTGGAGGGGAAAGGAAGCAGCATGATTAACACAAACTTAATTACCCTTCATATTGCTTCCCCTCACTTCACTTGGCTGTCCCTAGCAGGTCTGTCAAGGCGTGCAACATGTACGCATCCCTCATCACCTTTTTTCAAAAGCTCAGTAAGATAACAAAGTTACTGCCATGAAAGTTTTAGTAAATTAAAATTTTTTCCTCCTCTATAGTCACAGTTTTAGGTTGTACCTCCCTTTGTATTAATAAAGTGCTTATCTTACTAGAGACTTCCTCCTATTTTGTGTCCAAGAGAAGCAACAGTAGTAGAATCTAAGTGGTCTGCAGCACTCTAAAATATGCTTTTCAGGGTCTTCCTGAGCTACTTGTAAGTTTGAACCCTCTGAAATGATCCTAAACTGCATGAAAAAGCGCTTCAAGAATTTACATGTTCTTGTTTAGTAGCACATAGTGGAACACGAGCACTCTTGAGCTATTCTCCAACCTGTGAAAGAATAAAAATAGCACAACTGATAGTTAGGATTTTTAGCCATTACCCCGCTGGAGAAACAAAATGTGCGGAAACAACCCAAGTCCCATTTCTTCTCAGTGTGATCCTAAAAGACAAATGCTTTATTCTCTCAGTTATTTCGTCCACTTTGCAGCTCAGAAGGAACCACCTGAAGCTGAAAGTTGAGTTTGTAGAAGAAATAGTTCCTACACAAACCGTGCTTTTCTGAGACCTATTATCTGAAGTGTGGAGATAAAACAAATACATCAGCTTGAGGTATATAATGCTGGGGTACATCCTTCTGAGAAAGATCATTGGGCAATTGTACATTTGTGAACAGCTTGTTATCTGAAAAGACTATTTTTCCTCTAGTACTTAAAACATTAACGTGACGGAGAAGTCAAAGCTGTAAGTTAAAAAGCTGCGTGAAGATTAAGACTAAATGGGTTAGAGGGTGTTTTGGTTTGGTTTTTTAAAACTTTTTTTTTTTTTTTAATTTTCACTTTGTGCCAAGGAAATTCACCTGCACTGAAAACAGGCACTGACCAACAAAGCAAAAATTCTTTCAGCAGAAGGTAACACTTGCCAGCTGAACCCCAGGCACCTTTTTAAGAGTCCCCTGGTTATCCTCACCTTAATATTTAAAACCTGTATTTGGCCACGCAGTCCATTTAGCAGGAATACACTGCTGTAAGTGTCACTCACACCGGAATACTCCTCTGAACTGGCAAATTTGAGAAAGAGGAGAAAAGGAGCACAGGCAGTTTCAGCTCACAACCCTACAGAAACGTATACATGTGCTTAAACTCTAAGCACGAGTGGCACCAAAGTCCATGCACTTACACAGGGATAGGTGCCCACTATGGTATTTCTTGGAATTTTTCACACAACAGTGTAAGATTAATAACAGAATTAATAAGAATAATAAGATTAATACCACTGATTGTCACCAACAGTGTATTTATCTAGTGTCTCAATAGGAAATGCCAAATTTTTTTTTAACAAAATCTGTATCCCATTTACATTTAACTGCTTAAGCACGAAGCATTCTGGTTTTAATTTTTATACCATTATAACATGAAATATTACCGTTTTGCCACATTTTCAATTATTCTGTTTGATTTTTGACTTTTTTTTTCTAACCATGTGGTTACAGGTAGAATATAAATATCCAGAAATTGGTTTGAAAAAAAATTAGAAGTCAGTACTGCCCACTCATGCACTGAATGAAGCACTTCTGTGGAAAAGTAAAGTAGGTGATCATAATAATTCCTGATACAAATGAAGAACCAAAGTAGTACAAGTCCTAGCACCTTCCTGTAGACGTAATAGATTCTACAATGTTAATATTAAAATATCTGTGTACAAAAAGTCCACGTGTACTGTACTATGCTGGCAAAAACCCCAGTGAAATTAGGAAACACGCTGTAGTAAGGAGAAGATCTACAGTAAAATGTTATCAGATGTTCACAAATCCTTTTTGAATACCTGCCTGTCAGTGCACAGAAGGAACGTATATATGAGGAATATACACATATACAGGAGCACACTCCACTTGAGCTACAGCTTCAAAGGGCACAGAGGGCTCAGCCCATTTCTTAAAAGAAACCATCATTTTGCCTATTTGTTCCTGCTTCAAACATATATACGAACGTTTATTTATTCCCTAGATTTGTGTCTCTTAGGACATGCTACCAGTACGTGGGCTAACTTCTTCTGCATGAAGTTTTCATGGTAATATAATGACACAAATCCATCAAATAATGAAGTTAGTGTGCGAGAACAACATTTTCAAGAATACCGTTTTATGTCATTAATTACCCACATAATTAAGCATCCATTGCCCTTTATGAGTCCCTGGAGCCTTTCCCTATTTTGCAAATGAACTGATGTTTTCCACTACTAACAGCAGAGGAAAATACAGAGGCATTTATCAAAAGGAAAACAAGATACGGATACAGCTTGTTAGTAGTAGTAGAAAAACAAAGCAAGCGATTTGATGTTTTATCTAGGCTTCCTTTTGCCAAGTCTCCAGCCTTATTATGCAAAATAACTTCCGAGTGTAACCTATATGAATTGAGGTTGCCTTTAAGATACACAGAACACAACTGGGTGAAAAGCTCAGAAAAAAAAAAAACCAAAACCACCAAAACCCAACAATTGACGATTTTATATTAAAAATATCACAATATCGCTATTTATTAAGTCCCTCTTCATGAAGGGCTGCCCTATTACACAGGCAAAAAAATAATATTAAGTCTAAAATCGTACTGGACAAACTGCCACAAGTTGAAACAATCACTTTAAATAACCCATTGGGTAAATTCAGGCTATTTTACATCTGAATGTTGCTGTTAAAACATGTCGAATTTGACAAGAGGAGCCACACCAGTAACTATTTAAGTGAAGCTGAGGATGCTTCCCTGCTCGAAGAATTAGGAAGCGAACATCCCATTTCTTAAATATTTGTTTAATTAAGTTGAAGACATATGATTACTTTTGAAGGAAGGGACTAATTCCGCCCAGCCCCCCCCCAAAAAAAATCTCCCATAGATTAAATCTGACCCACCATGATGTTTAACATCCTTCTGTAGGATTTCGACATATATATTTAATGGAAACAAGCCCCAAATGGCACATCCCCGAGACTCTCCCCCCTCTTCTCCCCGGGGTGCCCCCCCGCAGTCCCGGTCGGCCGGGGCTGCGGGGGGAGCCTCGGGGGAGGGAGGGGGGACCCGGGGAAAGAAGGGTGTGTGTGGGGGGGTGTCTCCTCGCCTCCCCCCAAGGCCAAGGTCTCCCCTGCCCCCACACTTGATAGCGGAAGTGACGTACCCAGGCGCTGACGGCATCCGCGGCCTATCCCCGGCGGGCCCCGGGGC